CCGTAAAAAAATGAAATGGAGGCGGAAGTTTTTAAACGTCGCATGGCGCTTGTGATACCGTGACCGAAAAGTGACGATTTGAGTCCCTTCATACCCAGAGTAGCGCCGTGTGGGATCCATCTCTGATTGGCTTTCGGTCCCGGTTTCATGGATGTCACAATTGTCACATAAGGGCAACAGTATCCTAACGGGCTAAAGAGAGACACCCGCAAAATTACTCATCAATCACCACTAGGCGAAAAGTAGCGTTGACCCCCGAACTGAACTTTTGCCTCGCTTAGATTTCTAGTGCGGGGTCTCTACAATATATGGTCTCTGTTAGCGCCACGCTGTCCATTTTTAGCTTAGGTATTTCTCCGAGGTTCATTGTTTAACCGCAGAGGTTTCATCGATGTATGCTCCCAACCACGTCGTAGATGAGTTATATTTTCGGGGTCATAATTTTTCGAGAACAGGATCTCCTGAGCCTCCCCTGCCTCCCAATAGCTGGTGTTGATGTCGGACTTCTTTTCGAGGACCTGCAATAAAGGAGGCTGTTGGCACGTTCCGTCCGTAGCCTCATAAATCCTGAACCTGCTTTTGATTTTGACGCCCACGTCCGCGCAACTCAACTCTGCCGAGCCTGCCGAAAACGTCCTACGAGTTTCACAATGTTGCCGAATTCCTCCTCAAAGGAGTCGCGGATATATTTCCAACCGGAATCCCGATCGCTAAAGTCGAAACATACCGATAACTAAAGTGTGAAATCACGTACCTCCGTTTGCGACGTAGCAGACTTCCTGTCTTACTTTATTTTTTCGTCAGAAAAGTAGTCAATTTAATTTCTGTAAAACTTTCTCGATTTTTCTACTCTGTTAGGATTCGCAGAGTATTCTTTACAAATTTCAAGTCACACTGAAAAAAAAAAAAAAAATTGGATCTAGAGTCCAGACTCTTGAAAACATGGACAAGAAAAAATACTCTTGATTCAATCAAATTTAAGCTTAAATCAAGAACCAAGCCTCTTAATTTGAGCGGATTTCCTTTTGATTTAAGCTCAAATCTGATTGAATCAAGAGTCCTTTTTCTTGTCAATGTTTTCAAGAGTCTGGACTCTAAATCCAATGTGTTTTTTTTCCAGTGCATGAAGTTGGCTTGTTCCTCCTCGAAAAACTACAGTAAGAGCGGCATGTTGAATCGTTGCAATGGAGGGATATGATTTCGCTTTTCACTATCGATATGCGTATGCGTATCTCAGATCGCGACGTTGTAAGTCTTCGGTTTTATCGAAATTGCCTGTGAATTTTCTTCAGTCATCCAAAAAAAGTACACAAAATTTTGATTAGTTTTTTTTAAGAAAAAAAAATAAAACATAGGTAACCGGAGTTTTTAAACGTTGCACTTATAATGCGCATTTTTCTCATTTTGCCGTCGATTTGTAGGTATACCAGGTTCAGGTGGGTCGTCAGCTTTGGCGCAATACACTTTGGGTACAATCGAAATATTTCCAATTTAAACCACTAGGTGGATTTTTTAAGAAAGTCGTTCAGTCTCTAGATTTTTTACTGAGAACTGTTGGCGCTGAAAAGAATCTCTTAGTCTTCCAAAATATGAGCTAAAGTTATTGTTTGTTTGTTTTTTTTTTCCATCATGTGGGCAACGTTCGAGTATTTATACGGCGTGGCGTTCCTCCTCAGCATGGGGTAATAACTTTACAAACTGGAACCGTGGTCCGTTGTGACGCGGGATTATCTAGGGCTCTTATCAGAGCGTAAGAATTTAATTTTGGGCCGGGCATCGAAGGTGGCGGAGATTTGGGCAGTTCTTCGGGCGGGAAATAGCTTCGGACGCGAAGAGCCCGAACGACGTGATAACGCACGGGAAGGAGATAGCACCATCACTTGCTCCAACGGACTGTGCAGTGCGCTTGATGTATTGTGCACAGGAACATGCTTCACAGGAGAATGAAGCCATTTTAATAAGCCCGACGGAAGGCCGAAAATCCGGCCGGGGAAGCGTATCCACCGTGAGGACACCAACTCGAACCGGCCGTTCCCGTTCGCAACGATCACTTATCCTGTCGTGCTAAGGGAAAACGCCGTATGAACAGTTAAGAGTTGCCAAATTTCTTCCGATGAAACGTTTACTTCTGAGGAAAGTCACGAATATTTTTCCTTGAAATTCTCAGGAACTTCAGTTGAAATTGAGAACAAAATTATCTGAAAAATTGAAAGTAAAATATTCATAAGTTTACCAAGGAATTTGGGTTTTATCAAAGGAAATTTGGCAACGCCTACAGGTTCATACGGCGTTTTTCCATAGCACGGCAGTATTGCCCCTCGACTCTCCAGTTTTCATGGTACAAAACTCGTACTTATTTTTCCCCTCGGTAGGAGGGGTAAAATATTTGTTAGCGGATTCGTGAAAAGGGACCTTATTTCCCGAGAGAAAATTTTCCTTAACTTTTTTCAAATGCGTGGAGGAAGGAAATCTGGAAATTCTGTCGCAAGTTTGACCCCGAAAGCTTGAAAATTGAAGGACATATTAGTCCTGGAGTTCCAAGAAAAAATGTGTAGGTTGTGGAGGAACATGGTTTAAGTTTATTGAAAAAGTAAGGACAGTTTTCTCTCGGGAGGTACGGCCCCTTTTTACAGGTTTCGTTACATTTAGGCATGATTGAGGCAACATTTATGCAAATTCTTGAATTTATTGACTCAATTACTGTCAATATTTAGCCAAGCCGATAGGATGTTGAGGACATGACTTAGGATTGAAGAAAAAGAAACGAGCAAAAAGCACTGAATATTCCAACCTGAGGCAATACCAACCAGTACCAGGCCATACGAAAATACGTAGGTATGAGTGTGTGAGTGCGTCTTCCGGAGGCCTCTTCACCCCTTGCCCATGTATATGTAAGGCGGGTTGCATTATCCTTCCTGGCTCCATTTTCACCGTTAAATATTTCTTTCTGAATTGAATGCGTGATTCCGCAGCATAAATTTAGATAGTACGGTCAATCATACCTAGAACTTTGGTTAGAAATTTAATTCCTTATATATGTGGATCTATTTTCTGAAGGGTTAAAAACACTTTTCTCACGCTATGCATGCATTTCCGGGAAGACGTTCCTACAGAACCTAAGAGCAATGACCTGGTATACTGCCGTGTCAAGGAAAAACGCCGTATGAGCCTTCAGGCGTCGCCAAATTTCCTCTGATAAAACACGAATTTCCAGGTAAACTTATGAATATTTTCCTCCCAATTTTTCAGTTAATTTTGTTCGCAATTCCACCTGAATTTTCTGAAAATGTCAAGGGAAAATATTCATAACTTTCCTCGCAAACGAACATTTTATCGAAGGAAATTTGGCAACTTTCGAATGTTCATACGGCGTTCTTCCTTAGCACCTCAATATGGGGAGTTGGTATTGCCTAAGGCGATATCAGACAAACAGATAACTCTTGTAATCTCATGGGGAAAAAAGGAAGAAAGGTAATCTCATGAGTAGCTCTCATTCGCCTAGCTCCTTGGAACGAATGTTTCTGGAGTCCGATACGTTAACCTCATCCACCAACTTAAAAATATTCAACTCGTGCCTACTCTCGAGAGGTTACAAATTAGGAACAGAGGCGTGGCGTATTTTGCGATACATCGAATGATCTGCCGTTTAAACCTATGGGAAAGAATCAATAAACAGGGTGTTCGCAACTAACACCTTAATAATCGATTCTTTACCACAACTTCAAATGGGGGTGTATCGATAGTCGATCGTTCACGCCTCGGCACTGATTGGAAACCTTTCTTCTCGACTGCAGAATACGGACCCTCCCGTCCGTTTTTGATTAGATTAAAGAAACAAACAAAACCAAGGTCCAACTGGAGGCAGAATGTTCAAAAGCACGGAATGGGATTAAGATAGGGTGAAACAGGGGGGGAGGGTGAAATGGAAATAAGGCAACTTTAGACCCTGTTTTTGTGGTCGAGACTGTGGTCAAAAATTTATTTCGCTGACTTTGCGCGCGTACGCAAGCTGAGCTCGTTTTCTGTTCATGTTCAAGGAATTTGCGTCAATGAGTTGTCTCTAGTGTGAGCAGGTGTTTTAATGCTTCGTATCAAACTGATTTCAGTTTATGGCGATTTCTTCCTATTGCTTACATTAACAATTTTAAAGAAATCAACTCGTCTACTTGCAGGGGTGCAGAAGATTCCCCCACGTAAAGTGGGGTAACACTTTCAGAACGGAGGAAAACAGGGGCCCGGAACCTTATTTTTCTTTCTTCCACTACGACATCGTTTTAGTTCATGAAAATTTTAAATTTTTTAAAGGCTCGAGGGAAAGTATTTTTATATTTTTATCTTTAAAACAAAATTCAAATCTGAAGGGCTCATGAGACGTCAATGAAAATTCATTGAAAACCTGGAAAAGTCAAGGAATTTTGCCGCAAAACCTTGACACCTCTACTTTCGGCCGAAACATTTACTTGTTTCATACCTATAATTCATACGCTAACTCAATGAAAATTAGAACTTCTGACTCTTCAAAGCCTCGAATTTTGTATGTTTTCAATTTCAAGACACTTCCCGTTGCGTAGTGTTTCTGAAAATCATTTTCATGAGAGGTAATGCCTAGAAATCATCGGAAAATCATTGAGTTTCATGTCCGGAAAAACTGAAAAGTCATGGAAAAGTCAGGTAAACTTACCATCGATGTTTTTGCACCCCGCTGCACTGAAAAAAACACTGGCCGTGGAAGCCGTACTTCAGGGCTGAATGGACATACCGTCCGCGTTCCGGGCTCAAAGACTGAAAGTTCCGGGCGTAGCATCCGGAGTAATCGAAGCTATGGCTCCAGCACCCGGAACTCTCTGCCTCTGATCCCGGAACGTGCGGTATATCTATATAGCCCGTAACTTCTTTTTTTTTCAGCGTGTGAATTTTTTTTGAATGTCTTGTTGATAAAGCTTTGTGCGAGTATTCGAATTATAGAAGATGATAATGTTCTATGTTTGTTTATGTTTCAGGATGGTGGCAACTTTAGCTTCTCCGCCAATGACGGACCCGAACCACGACTCGGGCTACGCTGCCTCGAACGTGGACGAACCAATGGTGCCTGTTTCCCCGGCTCCCGGAAGCCCCCACTCAAGACAAAATCACAACCACACGGATCTCAAATCCATCAAGGTAAAACGCTTTCAACGGGTCTGGTCGTATCGCTCGGGGTGACAGGATTCTTTGAACCAGCCTGCTTCACTGAATTTTCCATTTACGGGGAAAAAACCATCCTAAAGAGTTCCTTAAGAGCCCTGAAGCGTAGTTCAATTTTTATTCTTTAATAAAATTAAAGAGAAGATAATGGTTATACTTAATCTGAGCCTAAGCTGGGTGTCTCAAAAATCCGTACCTCCGAAAGATGGAAAATGTGTCACACGTTTCCTTGCAAAATCCCTCTTATTTTCTAAATGAGGTTAAGTAGATTTCCAGAAAGGCCAGGACTTCCTAAGAGGCTTAAGTCCGTATTTCAGAAAAGTTCTTTCAGAAAAGAATCATTATAAACCAACACATCAGCGAAATTCAGAGAAATGAAAGCAGGATTCTTTTTGGGGGTGAAAAGCCACGCACTGGACACAGACTTTAAAAACTGCGCGAGATTTTTTTTCAAGAAAGAATCCTGCTTTCTTTTTTCTGGATTTTCTCAGTTTTTGTTTTAGGATGATTCTTTAATCTCATGCATTCTTTTTTTGGGTTAAAATTTGAAATCTGCCAAGATTTTTTACTCAATGGATGAAATTCATACATCGCACATCAGTTCGATCACGCCAGAAATCTGGACGAATCACCTTAAGGAAAGTACCTATGCGAGCAATGACAATAAACACGACCCATATTATTTACCATGGGGGATAAGAGGGAAGGGCATCACCGAAAAGAAAAGTTCGATCATAAGAACCAACAACAATTTGGTGTTCCATATCATCTCTACCATTCGGTTTGTCCAACCGAACTTTCCGTTTGTCAAACCGAACTTTCAATCCGCGGAACCGAAATAATTCGGCGAAGCGAACCGACGATCGAAATCCAGTTGTATGAACCGATCATTCGGATACACGACCTGGAAGTTCGGTCCGACAAACCGAATATTTAGGATGATATGAGGGGCTTGGAAGACAAGTCGCACAAGTGCAGTTTTTGAAAAAAATTGAGATAGTTAAGATTTTTAGTAAAACTAGTCTTGACGCATATTCTGTGAAAAATTGGCTCCCAAAGTCCAATTTTTAAGCATCATAAATTCAGGTTAAACTTTTTTCCCGTCATGAGGATCCGTGTAATATCGAAACTTCAAACACTGTGTTTCTCAAAACAGCAAAAACTGCACTTACGCGCCTTGTCCTCCAAGTCCCTCATATGGAACACAGAACTTTCGGCTTAAAAGAATTATCTAGAGATTTAGAATTATCTATAATTGAAATATGAGTCCAATAGCTTTAATTAGCTTACATATCTTTAGAAGTAACTTTTAAGTTACATAAATTATTATATCATAATAACCCTTTTATCAGGCATTCTAAAAGTATCGTACACCACTTAAATATTACTAACTATATTACTTGATGTATATATTATTCTAAAAAAAGTCATATGACTTTTTTTTTTTAGTAAGGATCCTTCGTCCACCCCCTCTTCCGCCCACGAGGTCTCACCTTGAAATTGGGTGAAATCTAATGAGAATTTGTGTTTTGACAGGGGTTGAATAGAAACTGCTCAATGGACGACGAGGTGTCGGGGACGGGCGAGTCCGTCTACAGGAAGGGCACGACGGCGTCGGTGCGGACGGCCTCCGAGGACGAGCTCTCCGAGTCGAAGAAGGAGCGAAAAGGCACCCAAGGCAACCGCTTCACCATCTACAAAGTGAACAAGGCCAGCCGCAAGAAGCGAGAGAAGTCCTCCGCCAGGAAGGAGAGAAAGGCCACCAAGACTCTCGCCATAGTTCTAGGTAAGCACACAGGGTTGCGCAAATCTTAGGGAAGAAATGGAAGATTGGAAATTTCAGTGAAATATTTCATGACATTTCACGAGGCTGTAAAATATTTCATATTTTTCAGGGGCTAGAGTATACAGCCTGCACTCAAATACACAAAAATAGAAGAAAGTCACAATTTTTACATTTTGCAAAACATGAAATGGACCGGTATTTTTCAATATCGCAAAACGCCAGAGAGCTACTCTTATACTTGTATTTTTCCATATCTTTCATAAATTTCTGAAATTTCATGAAATATTTCACGCGAAATTTCAAGTTTTTATTTTGCATGAAATTTTGCCACCCTGTTAGCACACCGCTCGCCATTCCTAATGGCGCTAATGTCACACGATCAAATCGAGTCATCAGATCTTTAAAGTTAGGCGTTGCGATTGGCTAATTCGATGACGTGGACCAACCCCAGCACTTGGCCCTGATATATTGATGGCACTGTTTCATCGTGTGACAAGAGCTTAAGGAGACCCTATGTGATCCAGGGACGAGATTCGCCACTACGTTGCGGTTTGTGTCTTTCGGAAGCAATAATTATCGTTACGTACAAGTTAATGCGTGAAACTGATCCATGACGTGTAGCAGCATTAATACTGAGTAGAATGACATCAAAGTTGTGTAGATTCATTGTAAATTTATACCTGAAACTACGATAACGGACGTCGCTCATTGTCTCAATGTGTAAGAGAGAGTTATTATAGCGCTATCTCTCTCTTTTCCCGATGAAACAGCGCCTGGCCGACGTATATGTAGTCGCAGTTATTAGCAGTCGACCTAACTAGCGCCTTCAAATCAATGCATCTGCAACATGGACATCCATAGAGCACGAATAGTTGCATCCAGGCGTTGTGGTCAATGAATAAGTGTCTACATCTCAGGAGTCGCTGAAACTGGTCGAAATCTAGAAGATAATGAAGTTTGGTTTATTAAAAGTTTGTAGGCTCTGTTCTAGAGTCCGAGAACTTTTATCCCCTCCTCTCCTTAAAATTTTATAAAAATGCTGTGTAAATAGCCTCGTGTAAGTTGAAGATTTGCTGAAATTAAATCAGTTTTTAGAGGGTCGCACGTGGAAGCCTCGTTCTGGACGACCTTCAAGGTACAAGCTCATTAACTGAGAGAAAAAAAAGTCTCGTCCTTCAAGCTTTTGATTTCCTACTTTTTATAGAATTTCCCTATTTTGTCCCGCTGCATTTAGTGTTTTTATCAAAAGCGGTTACAAGCAATCTGTATTTAAGCTTGACTCAACTTAAACCCCCTTTCCCCCCTTTTCGACCCTTTATTCATTCTTTTTCCTTCGCACAAAAAACTGCAGTCCCTCGTCAAACACCTTCTCAAAAAGATAGCAGCGCAGTGCAGATTCCATGCACCAGGTCGACAGCTCTAGGAGAGATTGCCCCACGCCCTACTTTTGCTCACCCTGACGATCGCAAAATTGTGTCAAGCCACTCAAAAAAAGTGTCCACGCACCCGTCTCCGCCGTGAAGTTTTTCCACCCCAGAAGCCAAGTTTATAAATCGTCGCCCGGCCGACACAAGGACGTAACTGCAAAGCGAGATGAGCCGTGAAAATCATTCAACCCAATGGACAACAGGGTTCATCACCAAGTGTAGTTACGCCCTTACGTTAGCCAAGCGACGAAATGACGAGTGATTAACTCATCTAAGGAGAATTAAAATGGAGCTGAAGATAATCCCGTTTAAAATAATATAAAAGGAGCCCGGGTGACAGGACGAGGGGAAGGGTTAAGTGGAGGTGGCGGCGAGGGGGGGGGGCGCACGACTTACCCCCAACCTTAAAAGTGAAGGACAGTAATGTTGATAAATGATACGGCTTAGAGCCGAGAAGCAGGGAGGCGAAAACACCTTGCTTACACTCCGCGCCGTGCTCGGTAGACTGTCCGCGGAGAGACAAGTGTCACCGGTTGCCTATCTCCCGTGCCACTTGTAACGGCTGCAGCCCCCGCCCCCTTCCCTCCCGTTAACCGTAGCGCGGTCCCTGTCTGGTGAGTTTTGCGTCTCGTCAACATGTCAACTTGCTCTGTCACGCTAAAAAACTACGGGATTTCATACTACACACCGACTGCATTGAGCATCGTGTCCCGGTTTGTCTCTCGGAAAAGTCTAGTTGCATTTGCAACGTTGCAACTCTAATTCTGAAAGAACAACCGTGGGACTAAATCTGATGAGGATTAAACATAGAGAAATGTTTTTCTGGCCGCGGTGGCTGGCATCCGGCGTTGTCAAGCGTTAAGTGAACGAAGTGGAAGAGAAACTAAAAAAATGAAGAAACCGCCGGACCTGAAACCGGGATTTTAGGGTTCACGTGACCCTTAAAGTTTTTAGGGATCTTAATGAACTTTTGGAAACCTGAGGCTGAAGATTCGATGAAACTTTGGGAGCAGAATTTTCGTGGGTCTTGCATGAGGCAATATCTATGAACTCGTCTGCCGTGCTAAGGAGGAACGCCGTATGAACATTCGAGATTTGCCAAATTTCCTACGATTAAATGTTCATTTTCGAGGAAAGTTACGAATATTTTTCCTCGAAATTTTTAGGAACTTTAGATGAAATTGCAAATAAAATTATCTGAAAAATTGGAAGAAAAATATCCACTAGCTTACCAGGAAATTCGTGTCTTATCGAAGGAAATTTGGCAACGCCTGAAGGTTAATACGGTGTTTTTCCCTAGCACAGCAGTCTTGGGCGCTGATCTAAATATTCTACCGCTTTCTTTAGACCGATGTTCTGTTGGGCTCTAGAATGATTTTTGTCTTGAGGGATGGGAGCATTGAAACCAAATCGCTCCTCTAATGATGCATTGTTTTAATTTTTCCTGGAAAATTGTACCGCCTTCGATTTACAAAGTATACAACCCGCAATGGCCCGATACGGTCCCGGTCACGTCTGCTTTCAAGTGTGGCAATAATAACTTCATCTTCGTGTAATTTTGGAACTCGCACTTCAGCAAGCAACGTCACGCCGCTCGTCCTCAGCGGGTTGCATCACCCGACGTGACGACGTGACGACGTGACGTGACGTGACGTGGTCCAAAATTAACACTCGCTGAGTGATTACGCCCTAAAGTGGGCCAGGAAGAAATTACGCCTTTCTCCCTGATTAAATCGCCTGGCGCGGCGGTGGTGGAGTCATGAAGGCAGTACCACGCGATTTGAGGAAACTAAACCCTGGAAAAAAACCACATTTGATCTAGAGCCTAGACTCTTGAAAACATTGACAAGAAAAAATACTCTTGATTCAATCGGATTTTTGCTTGAAAACGAAATCCGCTTAAATTAAGAGGCTTGGTTCTTGATTTAAGCTAGATTCTGATTGAATCCAGAGTACTTTTTCTTGTCGATGTTTTTAAGAGTCTGGACTCTAGATCTAATGTGTTTTTTTTTCCAGTGTACAGAGGTTAACATTTCCTTACTTGAGTTACTTCTTTTGGTCAAATCAACCGAAAGAACCTCGTTAATCGACCAAATTTGTTGTTAAATTGACCGAGATCATAGGTTACTCTGAGACATCTGGGGATGAAGAAAGTGTCCCGCCGATCAATGTGATATTCTTGCTCACGAAATCCCTCAGAGATTGCGTCTTGTGAGTGGCCAGTGGCTACCGCATTGGTCGATCACCAATGCTCCTTACGTATGCCGGATCTTCTGCTCCTGAATCAGAAGCGTACATGCGTACAATCGTATATTCGCCTTCAATTGACCGGTTATGCCGAAAACTTACTCACACGTTTAAATAGTTACGGCTCTCGCCCCTTACGTTTTCCGAGCCGTCTTTATCCGAATCGGCAAGTATGCAATTGGGCGTACGCCTTCAATTGGCCGGGTTTGCACAACACTTACACGTACGTTTGAATAGTTGCGCATTCTGCTCCCTAGCATTGCCGTGCTCTTCAGGATTTTTATGCTGATGTTCGGTCCAGTTTTTCCCGCTACGCCCACTATAAGCCAATAAAATTCACGCATCACGATAATACGTATGACCTGGTTATTTTACTTATTTTCTCTTAATGACATCCAATTTAAGAATTCTCTAGGCTAAAGACTTCGCATAAACGCAGACTTTCCGTCCATGTACGTCTCCTATATTCGAATAATTTCATTAAATGCAGGTATTAGATCTTCACTGGCGTCAGATCGAGACGCGAGAATCATTGTTGCTAGATTGTGCAGAATTTTTCAGCCTATCTCCTTTTTCACTTCTATGGAAAATATTCAGATTTTTTCAGACAAACTGGCAACCATGGCGAGGGCATGTGTGGAGAATTTTTCATGTAAAAATACTGTGCGTTCTTCGAGTGTGTTAGAGAGTGGCATCTCCAGCATCATTAACATAACTCGCTCTCACCGTTTTACCTCGAGGGGAATTTTGTGCAAGGAGGATCGATCTAAAATTGCGAGACACCTGAAGGGATGCATTTCGAGGCACGCAATATGAACGCGCCGCGGCTGATTTTGGAGAAATTCTGAGAAAACTGGTTGCTTCACAAAACTTGCTTCGCACAGAGAAAAAAAATCACGGAAGGTTTTAAAAATTGATGTTAGTATTTTTCTATCTGCAACATAAAGTCATCGCAAACCGAGATACGTGGTTTGAAAGTTTCACCGTTTATGTATGATGCTGAATAAAGGCAGGAAAATTCATAACGGTTCCGGGTGCCCCCGCCCCCCCCTCCACTCCTGTGACGCTCTTGTAACGTAGCACAGTGGATCGAGTCAATAGGAGAGGTCGGACAAAGTTTGGAAACTTTAAACGCTGATAACTCCGTTTGTACAAAACTTTAAGGTTCTAAAAGTGGTTTTATTGGTTTCATCGTGGTATTTTCTTCTAGTAGCATTCCTTGAGCTTTAAAATGTGACGAAATAAACATCAAAATTCGCAGCTTTTGTCCGCAAATTCTATGTCCGACCTCTTTAATTGACTCGATCCAGAGTGAACAGATTGGCC